CTACTTTGCGCTGTTTATCAAACCCGATTTTCGTGCAGCTCTCAGTAGAGATGCTTTCCCCGCTCTCCATTTTTACCTTGGTAAACTCGCTCCCATAGCTCATGCCATTCTCCAAGTCTTCCTTTAGAGGCCACGCAGTCAGGACAGGCCAGACTGGTGACATGGGTAAGATGATTCTCAGTGACTTAGAGCAAGGGCTGTTTGCCTTTGCCCTCACTGTGTGGCCACTGCCAGGCAGCTCGGGGGTCAGTTCCGAGTGTCCCTGCTCCACAGCCCACACTGGCAAAGTGCCCACATTCTGGGTGGTATCCCTCTCCTCTGCAGAGAGAAGGAGAGGGCTGAATACTCCCTGGAATCATCATTTGGGGCGGCACCTGGAAGTCACACACCCACATTCACAGGCCTTTAGCTGGAAAGAAAGACCCAGATCTACCCCAAGGGTCCCTGAAGAGTCTCTTACATTTTTCTGGGATGTGGAGAGAAATTCCTGTTGCATGCCCTTGAGGACTGCCGTAGAACTTCCTTACAAAGGAGGCAGAGCCTGGGTCCCTTGTTCTCAGGGGTGGCTGCATCTGTTTTCTGGAGGCCAGGGCTTCCAGGATTAGTCTGTTTGCCAGGTTCTGGTGAAAACTCCTTCCACTCCTGCCTTTACTAGTCCTTGGCTGCTTTCTTACTCTGCAGATAGTCCCTTACTAGGCTCTCGCTGGTTCTCCCTTCTTGAACCTGTAAACTCAGAGCTACACTTGGGTCCTTCTTATGAGCCCTTCTCACAAGGGAGCTAGCCAATCTCTCCATACTGAAATACCACTCTCCTCTTCATACCCTGCAACATGTTTTATGCCTATTCTTTTCTTCCCTGTGGTTCTGTCTAAAGTTACAGATCATCTCCAGATGATAAAGCAAAGAGGAGAATTCTGTTTGTAATCCATTCCAATTCTCTTTCCACCTGCATAGGCAGGAGCAGAGCAAACCACCATGTCTGCTTCCTCAACACAAGAGTGTAATGAAGGACACAGATACCTGCATCCTTTAGTCTTTGGACCACTTGAGTTGTGGTAGAGTTGAATCTGGCATCATGAGGGGGCACTGGTAACACTGTACTCGCAAAACAGCCACTGGCCTTTTTACATGCTTTATTAGTCAGTTTTCCTATCGCTGGAAGACAATCCGTGACACTCACAACTTAAAGGAGGGAAGGTTTAGTTTGGCTCATGATTTTGAAGGATATTTAGTGCATGGTCAGTTGGCTCCAAGACAGAAACCTCATGCAGAAGGGCGTGGAGGAGCAAAGCCATGCAGTTCATGGTGGCCAGGAGCCAGAGCAAAGGAGCAATGCCAAGAGAGATGACTCCCAGCACCAAGCTCTAAACACTGAACTGATCACAAAGCTTGGCTCCCTTGGTGACCCAGACACCGTCCTCTCCATCAAACCAGATGCTGTAACTTGCAGTTCAGCAGCTCTGGATAGAAAATCAAGTTATACGTCAGCCCAAGCCCGACTGGCGGCTAATCTAGGATGGTGCAGGAGAATTGCAGCCAACCTTGCATTTGTCAGAAGAGAAGAAGGCACTTGTCTACAATTTGTGTTCAATTCTTGCTGGACATAAACTTTGCAAGTTTTTTACCTTAAGAGAAAAGAGAATTTCCTCCCTGGGCCCCCATTCCACTCTCAACGAGGAACTCTAGTGCGCACTGTCCTCCATGGCCACTGGTATCATCTAGATTTTTTATCTCTCTAGCTCGCCTTGGCCACATGTGAAGGGAATGGGGAGTTTCCTCCTGGAGAATTTCACAGCTTCGTTGTCCTGAATTCGGCTCATGGAAGACTGGTGATTACAGGGTTATTTTAAGTCTTGGACAAACTCCCTCTCTTTTTTTTTCTATTATTATTTATCTTAGCTTCATGGTTCTTTTGGCAAAACAATTTCCTTACAAACTTTGCTGACTGCTAATTTATTTTTCTTCACCCTGTCTCATGTGCTACCCAAAGTTCTTTCCTAAGTCGTAATTCTGCATTCAGATTTATTTCCCTGCTTCTGTGCTCTGAGTCTCCTCTCTTTCTCTAGCCAAGGGGTACTGATACTTGGATGCATTCTGAAACTATCCATGGGAAGGCACACCCTTATGCTGTTCTTTGCAGGGTTAACTCTTTGTTCAATTGAGAAATTTTTCTGGGTCGTTCACAAGAAGCCTTTTAAAATTGCATCTTTTACATTCCTAAGCCTAGGAATCATTGGCTTTTCCAACCCAGTATAACTCTGAATGCCTGGTTTTGGCATTTTCTTTCTTTTTTGCCAACTACCCAATTCTTTCCTGAGCTATTTTTTCTTTTATTTAATTCTTGCCAAAGACACCCAATGACAGACACACACACACTAATGCATCTGTTTATAGCTTCTGTTTTTTGGATCATAAGGAACTCAGTCTGATCTCCTAATCATCAGGGCAATTTTCCCAAATGATGTGCTGCTCCATGCAAGGACCTCCAGCTGTCCAGGGAGCCATACCAGCTTCCTCTCACCTGCCTATCTACTGTGAAGGAATGGCCATGTAAATGAAATTTAGTTTGTTTTATTTAGTTTATGTTGTTTTGTTTTTATACCAGTCTTCCACTGGATGGTACCAAGTTCTGGTTAAGTCAGTGTGTATCAGCCTCTGTGAGACACATGAGCCCTCACTGGTACCTATTACAGAGGACTGGTCCTTACATTATGGTCTCGTGTGCTGGGATATTCTCTTCAGAGTCCCAGGCTGCTTCCATTTTGTGGCTGCAAAAATCACCCAGGAGTCCTCTCACTTGGCAGCTAAGAACAGAAAGGAAGGAGGTACATGTAGGGTATTTCAGGAATTTGAACGGAATGTAACAAACACTGTTGATGTCCTCATTTTGTTGGTTAGAACTCAGTACCTACATCTGCCATTCACTCTTCTGGGGGGAAAAATGAATGGGTTTCGTGAAATTATAGCATAGTCTCAAGTACAGTCTCCAAATGTCTCCCTTTCTGCATTTTCTATCCATCTGAATAATAGCAACTCTTAGTTGGCCCTAGATACTAATGCCTAGGAGTCTACACCCGTATGTATTCTTGCACTGTATTTTAATACTCTTGCTATTTCTTTCCTTAATGCCTATTTTCCTACCATGACCACTACCATCTTAGCTTTCTCTCTCTCTCTTTCTCTTTCTCTCTCTCTTTTGCCACACAGCTGCTCTGCCTACCATCTGTCAAGACAAGACTTTGCAGGTCTGTGATACACTCAGCTGATAAAAGTGCTTTAATAAAATGAACGTATGATCAGCTTACTCCATGGATTTCAGTATTCCATACATATATATATTTGAAACACAAAGGCCCTTTAATGATCTATCCTTATTTGTCCACCCAGAATTATCCTTAGCCTTTTTTCCCTCTCCACTCTTCTCCAGGGACCATGAACTACTCTTTTGATAATTTCCCACCCACTTTTCAGTCCCCAGGTGTATTATGACTCTTTCTCTCCATTATCCTTCCAGAGAGATTTTCCTATCTGCGTGTCATCCACATCTTCATCCTTGTCTCAACTATGGCCTTCACTGGGAAGCCTTGTCCTCCCATCCTCAGTGTGGCCAGTGGGCGCGCTTCTTGGTGTCTCTACCTCACCATATGTCTCTTCTCATGTTCACACACGACCCACACACAGACTTGCTGGCCAGTCCATCAGCTACAGGCAGGGACTATTTTTCTTTTCAACTTCATAACCCTCAGCATATGGCTCCTCTCCTGCCCTGGAGAAGGCCTCAGCAGAAGATTAGATATCTGCTCTACAAAATCCATAATGGCTAAGCATTTGTGCTGCAGGTTCCGTGTACCTGGGCTTTGTATATGAAAGAGTTAACTCAGCAGTTCTTAGTGTGCTCCAACCCTACCAGCTCATGGCTATCAACATGTAATCCCTTGAAAATCCTGCCTGACAGATAGTCTCTGAATTCCTGGAGTCCTGGGTTGCTCTAGATAATTTATGCTAACAATGCTACTTGGGGTGTTGGCCTTGGCCTAGTCTCTGTTTGACATCTGAGGGTCTGAAGATGAGTCTGGAGGCCAGCTAAGGGATTGTCGCTGCTTTTATAACTGGTCCCTAATAATCCCCTGGGATACGAAGGTTCAGATGAGCTTCGCTGGTGGTGGGACAACTTCACACTGGTTCACACAGTGGCTGGGAGCACTCAGCACTGTCTGTGTTACTCCACTGAGGGCGAACAGCTGGAGGCTTGTGCTTGGTCACTCATGTACCCCATCCTATTAGCCATTGCTTGTTTTATTATCTATGTTCTTGATGTAATAAATGGTAAGTATAACATCTGCTCAGAGTTCCGTGACACCTTCTAACAATTGGTGACTTAAGAGGCTCTTGGAGACCCAACATCACAATGAATCTGGTTTCACATTAACTGTGTAACCAGAAAGAGATCAGCCCAACCCTACAGTCTTTAGTTTTCCATTTAATATATAGGGATAGTAATAATAATAATAAATAGTGGCTTCCCTCTTAGGCTCATCTGAGAATTCAATATTGCATGTAAAGCATTGCATCAATTAATAGTGATCAATAAATATTAGGTGTTGTCATTGATACTGCTATGCCATGAACATTTCCAAGTTATTACATTTTTTGCTGATGCAAATATTATTGAAAAATACCTATATAGTATTCCACTAAAAGATAACACAGTGGTTTCTTTGGCCACCACTTTAATGTTGAATGCCTCAGTATTTCTCATTATTTTTCTGATAATAAATAGCATGGCATTGAATATGCTCATGGAGTGCATATATATGAAGTCTGCCAAAAAATGCATGCACACTTCAGGAAAAGAAAAACTTGTAGAAATATTTTAATACTAAATTTATTGAGACATCATATGTTAATACAAATTATTACTTTTGGTCTCTATAATTACAAGAGGTACTCAAAGTGGTGGCCATGAGCTTCCAGACATTTATTAGTATGGTGAACTGTTGCTTGGATAACCTTGGTCATTGAGATTACTGCACCCACATTTTCAATTTCTTCTTTAAAGGCTGCCAGTGTAATGGGTTTTCTGTAATATACAACATCCTCTAGGGTCCCTCATATGAGGATAAACCATCTGTCGAAAAAACATCATGCTGTTTTTCTTTTCCTGAAATGCGTATACAATTTTTTGGTGTGTTCTGTATTTAGAATAATGTAATTTCTTCTGACACACTTCAAAGATAAAATTTCTAGATGACAGTTTGCTTCCCAAAATATTAATGCTATTTTTTCTTAAACTTTTAAAAGCCAAATAAGATGTTGTCTATTTTCTAAAACCCATCAGGGCAAAGGGAAGAAATGACTTCTTTTGGATCAAATATCATGGATTAATAAATCAACCTTAAGTGATCATAAATTTCCTGAAAATAAATTGAAAAAATAATTTTAACTCCCCCTGGTTCTGAAAATGGAAGGTCTATATTTACACAGATAGCAATTCGGTATACTCTCCATTCATACATCTCTGTATAAGAAGAGAATGCTTCTAACAAATGCATAAAGTAGAAAAAAATAACCTCCATTGGCAAATCTACATCTATTAGAGAGGATTAAGGGGAAAAGAAAATATTTTTACCTTTGGATCCACTGGAGGAATTAATTCATTAGGCAGCATTATGTTAATCACATTCCTCATAATGTGATAGTCTTGTCATTAATGTTTTCACAAATCTGAGGCAGGAAATGATTACTTTTCTACAGGAGAATTTTAATTCTGACTTCTCCATGTATTTTGCTATCATGCTATCATCATTGCATTTTCACCTTTTCTCTACACCTTTATAATTAAATGGAGGTGACAGACCAAAGAAAAGTTGGAGCGGCAGACTACGCTTTTATCCCTGTTGGAACTTTCTTAGTTTTTCAGCTCCAACTGCCACTGTCATGTAGGAATAATGCATAGACATCTTACGAACTCCTCCTGCTAGAAGAGGAGACTGTAATGTGCTGAGGTCACAGAATGACACCCCAGCCATCTCTCCATGCTGCTAAAGGGGGAAGAATTTGCAGGCTCATTTCTCTATCACCCAACCACCTGGCAGCAGAAGACTCCTGAAGCAAGGAAACTGGGAGTCTCTCTCGCCAAGGTGAATCCTTTTACCAGTGTTGAATAGGAGCTGTGGCTGTCACATAACCAGAGAGAGAGACTGGAGGGGTCATCTGTTTAACTCACCAAGATTCTCACCCACTTCCCTGTAAACACTTCCATCTCCAGGGCTGGTATCAATGTGTCCTTCATGTCCAGGTTCATGTCATCCGTATATCTGTGTCATCTTCCTCCTGTCTCTGTACAGCCAACCTGAAAACGCCTCTCTGATGCCGCGGATATCTGCGACTCCTTCTCTGTTGCCCTAAACAACACAATGAGTAGTTCAATCCCAGGTACCAAAAAATAAATAAATAAATAAATAAATAAATAAATAAATAAATAATAATCCAATGAGCTTGGCATACTTGGGCTTGCGTCATTGGAATTTCTACCCAAGAGCACTATCTCCCATACACCATCAAAGTATCAAAAGATACATTTTGTTTGGTTTGCTTTTACACGGCCAGCAGGATTGCACAAATAGCAGTGGTTAAAAAAAGCATGTTGTTGAACAAATGAACATAATGGACACTGGTAAATAAAGACTATTGTGAAAATGTGCACCATAATAAGAAAACAATGCTTAATTTAGGAACATTTATTACCTCTTAATTTACAATTGTATTTGAAGAATACCTACTTTGTCTTAAGTACATCTCAGATTTCCCGGATCCACTTCTAATAAGCTGTGTGAGTTTGTACACATAAATTAACTTCTTTGATTCCCAGTCTGCTGGTCTGCAGAGAAGACAGTACTTTCTAACTTACAAAGATTTCACCAGCAATTAGGAACAAAATAACGAAACTTTCTCTCAGTGCAGTATTCGCATACCGATGGATAATTTCCTTCTTTTTGCCCCCCTAACTGAAAAAAAATGAATAAATTAAAAAGTACAATCTTTTGCAATGTCCTATGAGATGCCCTATGCTTTGGATATAAGAAAGCTGGAACCAAGAACATTACCCTCAAAACTAGTCTTGCCTGAGTTGCAGGCTCATAAGGGATATTCCCAACACTAAAATATGTAGCGATGCATGCTTATGTTCCTGTGACGTTTCACATCCCAGAAAGCCTCCCTTATTTTTCCTGGCATGGACACTGAGGCTCTGAAGTCCAGTGGTACCCTCATGGCTGTCCAGAAGGAAGCAGCAGAGCTAGAGTATGGACCCCACTTCTCCTGGCACCCTGCAGAACAATTTGCAGTCACTGATACCCCCATCCTCAAGAACGGGTGTCTAAACACCCATTCCAGCAGAGACTTCTCTCCTCGGTAGCCGATCACCTGTTATTTTCTCAGTGGGCTCAATTTTCAGGAAGCCTCTCCTTTTCCAGCTCCCAGCCTCTTGCTTCTGGAATCCAGCAAGCAAGACTTGGTAAATATGTCATCAAAGCCATATGTCATAAATCCATCAGCCTTCCCGGCTCTGTCATGTTGCTGCCGGAACCCTGAGAGCACAGCCCAGGTAGATGTTGGTGAGCCGTAATGGAAAACAAATGAGGCTGCTTTCAATGAGCTGGAACCTTCTGCCTGAGTTAATGCTTCAGTGTATTTGTTTGCTTCCTGCAGCTGGCTAAGCAGTTTTGGAGACCGTGACAACAGTTTCCATGGATTTGTTTTTATCCCTCATCAGACTTGACACGCAGCCATTCTGTTTCACAATTTCTGCCTGGAATGGGTTCCTGAGGAACTTCAATGGGGCACCTGATGGATCCATCATGGCTCTGAGAATGAACTGAGGACCCCTCCCAGAGCTGCTGAGGGAACAAAACTCGACAAGCCCTTTGACTTTTTCTGAACAGTGCAGTGAATTATCCTGTGCAGGTCCTATGAATATCTCCTTCAAGGCCCTGGTGGACTGAAGGAAATCTAGCTTGAGATCTGGGGCAATTGGGCTTTAGGGAAAATTCTCATTTACACTACAGATTTACCTAACCACAAGACTCTCTTGGGAAAACTTGTTAAAAAAATACAGATTTCTGGGCTTCACATCAGATTTTTGAGTCACTGAGGGATAAGCCTGGGTCCCTATATTCTTAACAATCTTTTCAGGTGCTGCTTTCCATGAGATACAGTTGGAAATGTGGGTTTCCAGGATCTCTATGTCACCTAACATCTTGTATTTATAATCTGTGAAGCAGCTTCGGCAATAGTGGTTTGGATCTTACCTGCTTCCAGAAGACCTGGAGTTTGCTAAAAATGTAAATTCCCTAGCTGAGTTCAAATCCTTTTACACCAGGCTTTGCAAAGTGACTTTTATCCACATCAGAATCTGGGAGCAGCTAACTGCTTTCTTTCTCAAACTTACTGTTTGGAGATATTACAAACTCATAAGAAAGCTGTGCAGATTAGAGGAGGTAAAGATTTAGCACAGCGTCTGCCGTAGGTAAATCACTGATAAATGTTAGCTATAAATGCAATAGTTTAGTGCTTTTCTTAGGCAGGAATTGTATCTTCCACTTCTGATTTCCACATCAGACTATGAAGGAGCATCTGGCTGGTCGATATGTTCTTATTGATCAAGGCTACTCTTCTACTTCAAAAGTTTATGCTCCTTTCTCATGTCTATTTTTGAACTGGAAGAATCTCAGCAGAATGAAAACTGCGTTTTGACCAGAGCTATTCTTGTCCCCATAAAGTGTTACATCTGGAGTTGCTAAAGTAATGTCTTCTGAGATGGGTAGGGTGGTTATTGTTAGTCTCATTTCATGTATAAAAATACACTTCCAAAGAGGAAAGGTGACCTTGACAGGGTTAGTCTGTTGGTTGGTTTTTCTAAAAAGCCAGTACTAGAACTCTGATGCTTCATCTTCCATCTGGTCTCTCCCACCCCACCATACTGCTTGTCTCAGCTGTGATTACAGGACCATCCCCATTATCCACTTTTTCCAAACCTTCTTAGCTTCTTCTGCCTTCATTCTCTGCTTTCAGCTTGCAGGGGTTCCATCTTTCCATGTTGGAAGATCTTTCATTTAATACACTATGAGTGAATCACATGGAGGCACTGGGTACAGAGGAGGTTGGTCATTTGCTTTTGACAAAAGGGCAATATACACAGGAGGCAAGTTGTTGGTGGATATTCAGACATCGTGACACTGCAAAAGGTAAAAGAGAGCCAAGTGGAAATTCTTTTTCTCAAATCATCTTTCAGAAGATAGCTTCCTGTTTGCACATCTATGGATGCTACTGACAAGAGGGTTGCTAGACCATCATCTTTGTAACGAGACCTACCTGTTGACTTGGGTTTTAATGTTGGAGAAAAGCACAGATCCCACAGGATCACTGAGTATCTTGGGAGTTATTTTAAGCACAATCAACTTTTGAGTGCCAGTGGGTGGGTGTAACCTGGAGCAGGCACTGGAGCCCATGAAGACAGGCCATGTGGGTGATCCTATCCAGCTGGGAGACCCGAATCCTTTGATTGGCCCTGACACTCTTGCCCTGGGCCTCTCATTCAGGTGTTCTACCCAGTGACTATCCTGATCCAACCTCAGTCCAAGGTTTCAGGAGAGTGAGATGTGATGGATGTTTTCAAACATCCCTTTCTGGGACCACGTCTCCATTTGGAATTTTGCAATAGAATTTACTTCATGCTAGACATTTAACTTCATCAGAAAATTGTCATTCAACTGAACTTAGCATTCAGATTAATTAAAATATATTTCTTTATTACTTCATTTTATTCTCTCTTCATTTTATACTCACTAAGAATAATAATCAACTCTTGAAGGACTACATTCAATTCTGCCTTTCTTATTTTTGTTTCAGTTGGTTTATTTTGGAAGTTATCACCTCAGTTTTACAGAGTGATGCATAAAAAATAAAATAAGTATTTAATATACACAATCAAATATATCTGAGTTGTGGGAATAGGGAATCTGGCGGTGGCAAGTGGTGGCTGATTTACCCACTTCCACCTCCAACTTTGTACATTTATAAGTACTCCAAGTTCTGCTATCTGGGGCAACCAGTACCACTTTTTCTCCTTCACTATGCCCTCTTGACTCTGCTCAGTCCACACTGAAGCTATAACTAGCTGAAAAGTTACATTTATTTTGTTAAAATTTCACACTCAGCAATAGCGGTTTGAGCCCTGACTGCTGTCCTCAAGAAACAGCTGGAATCTTTGAATGTTCCAAAGGGATCCTCTCATTCTGCCATGCAAAACTGATAAAAATTCAGATGGACCATGTTTTCAGGGCTGGTGGGGCTTCTAGGAAGACATCCGTGTCAGACCCAAGATGTTGCCAGAGTCTGGCTGAGTCTGGAGACGATGTGTCAATTTCAGAGAGGGGATTGCTTTGCACACAGCAAGCACAGGGATGGTCTTTCTGGCTTTGGCATGAAAGTTCTAGTTGTAACTTTGGATTTATGTAAATTTCTTAAAATATCCAGTAGTGGTCATAAAATAAATAATGAATATCTTATCTGTTCAGCTGCCATAAAAATATAAGCTTAAACAACAGATACTGATTTCTCACAGTTCTGGGACTAAGAAGTTCAATATCAAGACATTCACAATATCAAGGGGGATGTGTTTGAGGGCCCCTTTCCAGCATCCAGGTGGGTAACTTGTCATTTGGGCTGTCCCTGGCCCTTCCTGCATGTGTGATGTTAGCAAAGAGATTCCTCTCTCTTCCAAATCTTACAGGGCACTAATTTAAAAGTCCACCCTTACAACCAAATCTGAACATAATTATCTCCAAAAAACTCCACTTTTAGGAACTATCACTTTGAGTACTGGGGTTTTGACATATGAATTGAAAAAGTTTCATATATAACAATAATTAGTCTAATTTCATATTGTTTGTCTGCAATATAAAACTTGAACATATTGAAGAAGCTTATGTAATTTTAAGTAAAGGATTTCCTTAGAAATAATCAAAATTACAAAATGAATAAGAAACTTAGTGGGACTGATGTCATATACTGAAATGTTTATATTGATAGTTGCAAAGGTTAATCTTGACTGGCTTGGGAGACATCTATAAGATAAGTAAAGGACACTTCTGGGTAGGTCATGTTCATGACCTTTGAGACCACGTCTGGCCCTGGCCCCCTCCTCCAGGAGCTCTTTCTCTATACTTTGCTTCCTGGGTGCAATAAAGTGAGCAGCTTTGTTCCACCAAGCCCTTCCATCAAGCTTTCTACCTTGGAACCACCCAGCCATGGACTGAACCTCTGAAACTACGAGCCAAAATAAACTTCTCCTTGCTTAAGTTGCATTTGTCAATTATTTTGTCCCAGCAACGAGAAAGCTAACCAATACGATAGACTATAAATGTAAATGCAAATAGTAATTTAATATAAAAAGAAATGCTATACAAATCTTGAACATATTCTTTTAAAAATCATGATAATAAAATGCTAATTCCTAATTTAAAATAAAATTTAAATAAAGTTTTAGTTCAAGTCCAGATTATATTAACAATGATTATATTGGATTCGTAGAGATACTTTCAACTAGACTTTAACATTAAATAGAGCTGAACATTATTAAAACTAAGGCTCTCTACTAATAAAAGTAAGAAGCAGCAGTAGTGCACTTATAAAATCACATTGTAAACAAACAGAAGGCACAAGAAAATGTAGGTTCTATAAAAAAAAGAACAATTTACTACAGTCATAAAATTTTTCTTGTGGCAAGGGGGAAGGAGTCATGTGGGATGTTATATTCCCTGTATCTTTTTATACTTTGTTTAGATTCTTAGCAGGGAGCTTACACTGCATTACTAAGTGGATAAAAAATTTAAAATTCTGTTGAGAACACTTGGAAAATCTAAATAAAATAATTCCTATTTTGAGCAAATTGTACATCATGATTTAATTCATCCTCAAGTTAAAAAATTATCTTCATAGAAACTACTTCAAATAATTCTGTAGAAAAATGTACATTTTACCATTGCTTCTGGAGAATATATTATAAGTCCTTTGGGCATTTCTTACATTTACTTATGTTGCTGTTTTATAGAATAAGTATCATACCTAATGAATACTAAAAATCTTAAAATATTCTCTATTCATTGGGAAAATGTAAATCTTTTAAAAAAACTCCTTCAATGCATATAATTACCACAGCAACTTGGGAGCAATACAGATTTTTATACATGTGCAGAATTCAGAGGAATGTGCTTAGAATAATCTCTTTAGAATCTAGGATACAACTTCAGACTAAGTTGATATGGCAACTTTTGAAAGCAGAACCTGTCATTTAAAGAAGCAAAATGTAACACGCGAAGGACTCAAAGTCAGCAATAGTTACAGGATCCCTGCCTGCTGTCCTGAAGACCCAGTTAAAATCTCTGAATGTTCTGAAAGAGTATCAAGGAAAGTCCTTGCGCTGTTTCCTCATTCTGTGGTGGAGGATTGCTGAAAACTTACATAGACTAAGTTGGAAAGGTCAGCAGGTTTCCGTGAGAAGCCTCTGGAACGGCATCCATTGGAAATGAGATATTCCAGGAGCCAAAGTCAAGTCTACCCAGCTGCAAAAAAAGAGGTATTTCCATTATTGTGACCACATAGGGGTGTC